GAAGAGGTGAAGAAAAAAACGAAGGAGGTGCTGTGAGCCATCCAAACAGATGAGTTTGAAAAATGTTTCCAAGAATGGAATCGCAGACTTGACAAGTGTATTAAGTTTAATGGAGAGTACTTTGAATATGATAAGGTTGTTTTGTAAAAATACATAAGTAATAAATAGCTTTGAAATAAAACATTCTGGGTTTTTTTTTTTGGTATCAACTCATCGTTACCTCTCACTCAGGAAGTAGACTGAACCGCTTTACAGAAACACAAGGATGACTGGTAAACCCATGGGTGCCAATTGGAACTTCTAATGTGGTAGAATGCTGTCCTCACTCTGGTGTTGAGGGAGTTCATATTCTAATAGCCTTTCCATTGACATTCCCTACGTGTCTCAAGAATAACTGGTACCAAAGGAAGAAGTCTAAACTGCGTCAGTGAGGGCGTCAGTGAGCTACAAGGCTTCAGAAGTGAACAGAACAGCAATACAAATGTTTCAGCAAGCTGATGAAGCACCCTCTAGTGTATGGCAAGGAATTTAGAAGTCAGCTCCTTGGCCAACCAACCAGAAGAGATCCATATTTATGCTCTTTCCAAAGAAAGATGATCCAACAGAGTGCTGAAATTATTAAACTATGTCACAAATACCACATACAAGTAAAATTTTGATGAAGATTGTTCAGTAATGCTTGCAGCAGTACATCAACAGGGAGCTGACAGAAATTCAAAGCAGCTTCAGAATATGATGTGCATGAGGGATAACATTGTTGATTTCACATGGATCTTAGCTGAGAGGAGAGAATAACAGAAATATGTTTACTTGCGTTTCATTGATTATAAAAAGGAATTTGTATGCATCATAGCAAAGGATAAATAATATCAAGAAGAAAGAGAATTACAGAATACTTCGCTGTGTTCAAATGGAACCTGTACATGGAACAAGAGGCATTTGTGGACACAGAACAAGGGGATGCTGAGTGATTTAATATTAGGGAAGGTGTGGGTCAAGATTGGGTCTTTTCCCCACACTCATTCAATCTATATGATGAGCAAGTAATCAGAGACATGGGACGGAGACCTATTAACAATCTCTGATATGCAGATAACAGTCTTGTTTGCTGACAGTCAGGAGGACTTGAAGCACTTGCTGATGAAATTAAGGACTGCAGCCTTTGAATTGTATTGTATCTCAATTGGAAAATAAAATCCTCATGAGAGAAACATCATGATAAGTGGAGAACGGTTTGTAATTGTCAGGGATTTAATTTTGCTTGTATCCACAATCAATGTTCATGGAAGCAACAGTCAAGAAATCAAATAACATGTTCCATTAGGAAAACCTGCTGTACATGATCACTTTCAAGTGTTGAAGAACAAGGATACCACTTTGAAAACTCAGGTGCACCTGCCCCATGCCATAGTCTTTTCAACTGGGTGAGAGTCATGTGAAAAACCAACAATGAATAAGGAGACCGAGAATTGATGCCTTTAAATCACTGTGTTGGGGAAGAACATAGAAAGAACCATGAACTGCCAGAAGAACAAACAAGCCTGTCTTAAAGCAGTGCAGACAGAGCACTTCTCAGAAGTGAGGAGGGTGGGAATTTGTCTTATGCATTTGGATGCGTGACCAAGAGAGTCCATCCCCTGGAAAAGGCCCGGGTCAAGGAGAAGGACAGTGAAAAAGAGGAAGACCCTCAAGGAGATGGACTGCCGCAGTGGTCGCGACACTGGGCTCAAACAGAACCAGCATGGCAATGATGGCGCAAGGTCAGGCCATGTTTCTCTCTGTTGCGTACAGGAAGGGTCACTATAAATCAGAACTGACTGCGTGGCCCCTAACAACAACAGCTGATGTCAGAGAGAGAGGTGGCCGTCGGCTTTGCTGTGTTTACGACACCTAACACCACCACAACCACCTTGTCTCACTTGATGCTCTAAGACCGAATTTCCACTTCAATATGAAATGATGTACAAAACAGTCCCAAGAAGTCTACAACAGCTCCCTAAACCTTTCTTCCTTACACATATTTGGAAATTTTAGCTTCCTAAGCATATCAGGAATATCAAAACATAAACTCAGAAGGAGAACTTTAAAACATTCCAAAAGATTCTCAGGATAGTTGAAAATATGTTATACTTAAGGGGGAAGATTATGCCATGGAAAGAAAATTAAAGTCCAGATAGATTTACCAAAGATTAAAAACACAACTTGAAAAGTAATAATGAATTGATTAAATGATTGAAAAATAGAGTTAATGACATTCCCCCAAATGTAAATTCGCATTACAAATAGAAAAAAAAAGATGAATGACAAGCATGAAAACCACTTTAAAAGGATCAATATCCTTTTAAAAAATAAGAGTCTCAGAAAGAAAAATCAGGAAGGAAATTATTATTATTTTTTTTTTACTCTTTATTCATGATTTGAGCCAAAGTTTACAGAGCAAATTGATTTTCCATTCCACGGTTCACACATTGTTATGCGACACTGATTGCAATCCCCACAACATATCAATACTCTTCTCACTTCATTTTTTATTTACAATTCTTTTCTTCCTTTTTACCTATGCCTTCCTCCTGACTTCTGAGCTTTACTCAGATGCTCAAATACTGTCGTTTTGATCTCTCCTGGTTGCTTGTTCTAAGGCGTGTGTACCTCTCTGTTGTTCCTGATCATCGTGTAGGCCTATCTCTCAGTTGGACGAACGTTGAACCATGGGGATGAATTCAGTTTCAGGCCTGGAGGGCATCTGAAGGGTTATCTAAGGGCTTGTGCTTCAGAGATTTCATCGGCCTATCAGAACGTAATCTTGGTTTTGTTCTTTTTTAATTCATATTTTTGGGTTTTATATCATATTTCTCTCTCACTCAATCCAAGACCTATAGTGATCTGTTTCAGGGTGATCAGCTTCAACCGTGGTAACTGTGCACTTTCTCGTTCTTCTGGCCTTGGGTCATGGAGGCCGGGGTGCCCACTGTCCATTTATCCTCTGACTGAATTGTTTCAGAGAGGAAATTTATTAAAGACAAATCCCTAAAAGTTGAAACGAGCTATTAGATTGAAACATAAATGACAATGAATTACATTTTTAATGAAATTCCAGAATACTATACAAAGAAGATTTGACACATTTGGTATGAAAACCCTGGACCAACTCTTCTGTTTCGCACAATGTACGAGTCCCAGCCAGAGTCCTTTTCCCATTTCTGTTGTCCCACCTGTAATTGTCATGTTGTTATGACAGTTTCCTTTGTTCTCCCATGTCCTGCTTAAGCCACCACTCCTCTGTACACCATTGGCTGCCATTATGACTTCATGCTAATGACCTTTGTCTGGGTCTTGTCTTTGCCCTGTTTAAGACTTAATCATTATGTTCTCCTTTAAAAATGAAAGTGGCCCCAAAAATGGTGCTGGCTTGCTAACGGATAGGTGAGCAGTTCAAACCCACCAGCTACTCTGTGGGAGAAAGAGGCCCGGTCTGCTTCTGTCATGATCTACAGCTTAACAACTAAGGGAGTGTCTACCCTATCTTGTTAAACAAGCAACACAAAAACCAAACTTGCTGTCATCAGTCAATTTCAAACCACAGCAACCCACAGGAGGACAGAGTAGAACCACTCCACAGGGTTTCTGAGACTAGGAATGTTTACAGGAGAAGACAGCCTCACCTTTTGGACAAAGAGTAGTGGGTGGGTTTGAACAGCTGACCCTACAATTAGCAGTCGAACACATCATCCACAGTGCCACCAGGACTCCTAGCAGGTGGCAAAATAACTTTTATATACATTATGAGATTAGAAACCACCACAGGACTTACGTTATTTTGGTGGTCTGTGATGGAACCTGCAATATCTCTGTGTTATGCCTCTCTTACATTTTACGTATTTCAAACCATAAAATGCATTTAATTTTAAAACAATGTAACTTCAAAGATAACTGAACTGATGTTTTAATATTAAAGAATATTTTTGAGATAGACTTGTTCCTTGCTTGTTAAACTAAAAATGCCTGTTGCCTAAATGCTCTTTTATGTTATCCAAATTATAGAGCAATTCTGCTAAATGTTAAGATGCAGCGATCTCATTTGTATATATATATATATAAAGAAAACCAAAGCAAGTGTCCTTGTGAAGGTCACTGGGTGTGGCTACATACCAATTTATACTTATTGATCGTTTTAAATAATCGTTAAAAGCACTAGTATTTTTCAACTAAGAAGACTACCTTTAATATTCAACATCTCCCGGAGGGTGCATTTTGTATGAAAACTGCTCATGAAAGTTTATGTAAGCATGTTTGTGGGGTAAAAGGGACATTCAGCTTCACTTTGGGATTGTGAGGCCTGCAAACCTGAGTCTGTGTTGATTTGCAGTTTCCATACGATTTATCTTGCTCTTTCAGGTGATGATGCCAGGGAAGCTGTGAAATATGGTGTGGATGGAATCTTGGTATCAAATCATGGGGCGCGACAGCTCGACGGGGTACCAGCCACTGTGAGTTTCAGCAAATGCTAGGATGTCTCTTTGGACTTTTTATTTCCATCACAGTTTGGACTATCTCTACATTTACTACCTTCTGTGTTACCCAAAGCAAAATATCTATGAATTATATACCGTATATATTCGAGTATAAGTCGACCCGAATATCAGCCGAGGCACCTAATTTTACCACAAAAACTGCATTAAAAATGTGCTGAAAAACTTGGCTTATACATGAGTGTATATGGTACCTATATATGGCCTTGGAGTTTTAAGCTAAAGAGCATGGTGCAGTGGGAAACATGTGAAACTGCTAAGCACAAGGTTAGTGGTTAAAACCCACCAGTCTCCCCAAGGGAGAAAGACGAGGCTGTCCATTCCTGTAAAGATTCAGAGTTTCAGAGACCCTAAAGAGCAGTTTCACAATTTTACTCTGCCTTCTAGGGCCACCAGGGGTCAGAATTAGCTTGATGGCAGTGGGTTTGGTTTGGGTACTTGTACTTGTGGGCCTGGCATAGGCTTGTCTTTACAGGTCTGTGTTGCTGTTGAGTTGGCTCAGATTCATGTTGAGCCAAACTTATAGAGTAGAACTGAACTCTGTAGAGGTCTTCTGTTCCAGATCTTCGTTTCCTCAACATTTAAAGTTCACGCGTCAATAGATGATTTTTTAGAAGCCTGTTAACCTTTAATCTTTTGTAGTTTATCATTGACCTGGTAAGCCATCATATATCAAAACTTGCTTTAAGAATGTATTTACTTATTAATTTGAGTGTACTCTCCTCACCACTACCTCCTTCTGAATTGGGTGATCACATGTACTTTTCTTTTCTGATCAGTCGTAATGATAAGATGAATAGCTGTCATTGGGATAGCCAGTGAAATTCATTCGAACAACTGGAAGCACTGCAGAAACAATCACTCAGTAAAGAAGTAGTGGATTATTGCTTAATTGAACTAACAGATTTCTTTAGTCAAGTCTATAATTCGTGCAGAAGACTCTCCTGGTTCAATTCCTAGGCGATGGCCCTCATGCACAGCCACTACTGATCTGCCAGTAGAGGCGCTGTTTTGCTATGATGCTAAACAGGATCCAGGTGAGCTTCCAGACTAAGCTGGACTAGGAGAAAAGGCCTGGGGGGTCTACTTCAGAAAATCCCTTAGTGAGAACCCTATGGGTTACAGTGGTCTGATCCACAACCCATCATAGGAATGAAACAGGACTGGGAAAATTTTCAATCCATTGTGTGAGGAGGAAGCCAACGACATAAAACAGTGGTGTGGTGTTTGTCAGACTACACAATGGTAGGGGATCATTGGGCATAAATATCTGTATTCTCAGCTTTTCCTAAAGTATGAATAATACTAATGAACCAAGCCATTGAACTCTGTAGGAGTATACATTTAAGAATTCAAAACCATATAGCTGGAAGATTTCACCTCGGTCCAAATTGGCTTTTCTTGTCTTCTAGGGACTGCCTTTTGAGGTTGATGTTAAATGTTGCTTGCAGGAAAGTCGAACCAGAAAGGGAACCCTCCCTGGGCAGAGAAGCTGGTCCCTGCTCAGATTTATGCCTCGCTTGTGTGTGAAGACACAGACTTAGTGTGTGGGTCAGATGCAGTTTGTTTTCTAAAAATAAACTTAAATCCACTGAAATCAAATCTCACTGGAGTTTAGAAGGGGAAAAAAAAGAGTGTAAATGCTGTGGTTTATTTCCCTCTGGCTGTGGGGATATGGAAACTTATCTAAATGGGCTTTTTGAGTTGTGGTCTCAGAGAATGTTTTAAGAAACAATAACCCTCTCCTTTTCATGCCCTGTGCATGAGCATCGTGGGCGCTTTCTCGAGTTTTACCTCATACTTTGGAGCAAACTTAAGCTTCATGATGATGAGAGAAATGTGAGAAGTGATTAGGTTTATGGTGTAGGGTGCTCTCCTGCAGTTTGTGGGTTTTGAGGTGAGGGAAAAGGACTCGGGCCGGCTGTGCTGTAAAACATTTCAGTAGGTGCATGAAAGGACATACTATCCTACGGGATCTGTTCTATTATGAGTCCCAAACCAGAATGATGTCATGGAATGAGCACTGACATCGATGTCTGGAGTCTGGAGTTCGAGTCCTTGTCTTGCCTTTCTTTGAACTTTTCAATTTTCCCTTTTCATTTTGATACTAATGGAACCCTACAAACCTCAAGCTTGTACTCATGCTAAGAGCCATGTGAGCAAATCCCTCAGACTTTTCAGCCTGAGCCTCCTTGTGGTGGTGTACTGGTGGCTGAGAGAAAGTGATGGACCACACGATGTCTCCATTTCTACAAATCATTGAAGATCTTTTTCTGCAGGATGCATGCATGGAAAGACTCTTGTCACTATACATCCTATTAACATAAGTTCAGCTTCATTTCATCTTTAAAATTTTTGCGTTGTGATAAAAAAATATAAAACAATTGCTATTTTAAAGAATAAAATCCAATGGCTTCAGTGACCTTCATCATGTTGTGCAACCATCATCACCATCAATTTCGGAAAGATTTCTGTCACTCCATAGAAGTTCAATACCTTTAAAGCAAGAACTCCCAATTCACAATGGTCCTAGTTTCTGGTAACCACGAATAAGGTTTGGTGTCCATGTGTTTGCCTTTTCTAGATATTTCAGGTAAGTGGAATCATACAATCGTTGTCCCTTTGGGCCTGACTGTCTTCACCCTGAATAATATTTTCAAGATTTTTCTTATGTCATGTTGCATGTTGCTACTGTTTGAGCTGCAACACGGGCTCAAACAGGAGAACCCTTGGGAGATGGCCCAGGAGCTGGCCGGGCTGCCTTCTGCTGTCTCAGGGGTCGCTTCGAGTGGGAACTAACTCCCTGTGACCTAACCTCATTGACGCTGAGCTCTGCAGTCAGACCTCGGTCATGCCCTAAACACACAAACACCGGAAAGCCAACCTCACTCTCATCAAATCTACTCCAACTCAAAACACCCATGTAGGATAGGGTAGAACTGCCCCTGGGAGTTTAAACATGTGGGGGTCTTTCTCCAATGGAGTGGCTGGGAGTTTCAAACCATTGACCTTGCAGTTAGCAGCCAATGTGCAAACCATTACAGCACCATCCTCCTGTTTAGCTAAAGAAGTAACAAAGTAAGGTTTGCGAATGGCTTCCCCACAGGTAATAATGTGGCCATGATTGACCCCAAAGTAATGAGAGGGCTTATAAGAAAGAGGATAATAGATTTCTAAAGTGAATAGCATTAAAGCTTTGAAATTGAGGTCTGAGGACAGATCCTGTGAACTTTAAAGGCCTTTTAGATTTCAATTTTGTATTTTCATTTTGATGCTAACTGGACCCCAAATACCTCAAGTTTATACGTGGGGAATTTTGGGGGGGGTGAAAATTCTCAACTGTAAATCATTTTCATAGAATAGGCCTTTGAGTTGTTAAGCCAGTGTTTTTCTTTTTTTTAATTTTATTTATTTATTTTTTTAAGCCAGTGTTTTTCAAACAAGGTCTTTGGTTCCTTTCTTTGGAAACTGAAAAAAAAAAAGGTTTTTTTTCCTTTTAAAAGTGCAAGACCAGCTTTGAGAAAGACTTGATGTAACATTGGATGTGTCTATTTGCATCGTCTGTGTAACAAACCACCCTGAAACAGACCGAACAGTTTTACCAATGTTTCAACAGCAAACTCCTGATCTAAAGGAGGGGATGTGACTTTCTGGAGCCCTTACAGCCCCCTGAGACCACCCGTAATCTTAAAACCATGAACCATCACTATCCCAAAGCCGTCTTAGATAAAAAAAGAGTCTAGTTCAACTCGTAAAGAATGCTCGTTTGTGAGATTTGCACTCTTTTAAGAAGCTTCCTCTACATAATGAGATTGTTTACAGCAATTTAAACTATCAGGAAACCTGGGGGCAAATAGGTTTATGTCATTAGGGGAGAAACAATTGGAAAAGAGGGACAGTACATTTTCAGGAATGTAGCCAGTGCCACTGTAGGATACACGATACACTGGTGAACACCATGTGTTTTTCTGTGGATATTTTGAACAACCACAAAGCAATGAGCTTTTAACAAGGTAGATTGCCAATTTAGCTTGGCACCTACTGGGACTTTTTCTGATCTTGACGAGACTCGTTCATATGTGTCTGTGGTCAAGAACGGGCCTACTAGGAGTGGTAGGGATGACCTCAGCAGGGATGACTCCTTGACATTATTTCACAAGTTAGGGCAAGTAAGATGTGTTTGTTTATCATTAGATGGCAGGTTTTCTAGAGAGTAACTAAGTAGAAGCAGGCACAGTCTTTTAGTTCTAGATTCAGAACCGGCGCATGGGCACTTTCTCACCTTGTATTGATGAAATAAACTCCCAAGGCCAACTGCAATTCAAAGTGTAGGAGGATAGAATTCCTCAGGCCCCTCATCCTTGGGGTGATAGGATGAGTTGAAAGGTCACATTGTGAAAAATGAAGATAGGGAGGGAAATAATTTCATTTGTTTCTGCCTACAAGCAGTCAAACGTATGAAGTGCGGAGCCTGAGGGTGGCAAAGTCAGACGAGGAATTATAGGCAGTGGCCTGGATTCTGCTCTTTTCACCTTTATCTGCTTTTCTTTAGGTTCAGCTGGCTTGGCTTGAGCCAAGAGTTCCATGGCTAAAGCAGTCAAAGTCAAGAGTGTAATGGCAGATGCTAGGGAAACAGGAAAGTGAGATCTACGTGTGAGCCTAAGTTTTGGGGGAAGGGAACCTTCTGGAAGGGTGTAATGAGGGGTCTCCTTTGAGTCAGATCTCTATGAGATTCTTTTCCTATCTCCCAAGCTTCTGGACACTGTACCTGAAAAGCAAACGGTTTGATAAACCAATGAGTGGATGGATGCATGAGCAAGACCACATTGGGGTCTCACCATAGTTTACTGATGGCCAGCTCCACTGGACTTAAATTTGTAATTTGATGTCTAAAGAGGTGCTGGGGGAAGAAGAGCTGATAGGAGTGGTCTCCAAGATGTGTTCAAAGCTGGAATGAAGGAAACATAACAGGATCATAGAATAGTGAGTTTATACTACTCTGTTTATTTATTTAATCTCCTCTGATTAGAATAATCCTGCATAAAAAAGAGGTGCCTCATAAAACTTCAGTTTCAAGCCTGAAAGGAGTAGTCTAGAAATGCTCAGCATCAGGCAGAACATTTGTTTCCAGAGGACACTCGCAGCACCATTACAGGCTCTGTTTTATAACCCCGGCTTCACTTTTAAAGTATCATTATTTGTTCCCCGTTAGACTGCAGGTTAGACTTTGGCAACAACCTGAAGAGATTTGATTCGCATGACTTTGAAAATGTGTACTGAACCTAAGCTAGCTAATATTTTTCTTTGGTTCTGGTTTCATATGGGGAAATACACTTAATTATAGCTTGCATCATTACGTGGAAATTGTAGCATTTATATGTTGATGTAATTTGCTGAATGTAAAAAGAGGACTATGTATAGGTAAAGGGATGTATGTAAATGGATCCAAAGCATGTTTGGCAAGTCAGGAAAGTCAAAAGGGAAAGGGAAAATCACATTACCTGCCAACCAGTTAGGGGCTGCACGCCAACGCCTGCCTGCACTTCCTCCAGATTTGTAGCCACATTTGGTTTTCAGCCTTTACACAAACCCCTCTTTAAGTCGAGCCTCTGAAGTTTTAGGGAAGAAGTGGGAGAGACTGAGTAAATTCAGCACAATCATTTTGGGGAAGACTTGAGTGTGTGGTTCCTTTTTGAGTGTGCATTTTCAATGGGAATTGGCCTTAATATTGAATATTAAGTTTAATTTTAAATTTGTGTATGAATATAGATAGGTAACATGTTCAGAGATTCTGATCTGTAGATCATGTTGGGAATTATTTCCATTCTCCAATCAAAGATCCACATAAAAGAAACCAACTGTATCAGTTAGTTATTGCCTCTTGATGCTATACAATGAAAGATCTCAAACTCAACTTAAATCAAGAGTAATTCACTCTCTAAAAACAACTGTGGGTCTACAATCTAAGTTTGCTACCAGTTCCATGATTGTGCTCTAAGGATCAAGTCCAGCTGGGCTTGGCTGAGAGAGTGAGACTTTATGAATATTTATCCTGGGACCAAGCTGAAGGGGAAACAGAAGTGGGAAAGAGCAAATAGAGATACACGAGGCTGCATAAGACCTAGATTCAGAGATGGCGTTATGCCATCCCTGCTCATTTGCTATTGGTCAAAGTAGGTCACGAAGGCCAAGGCCCAAGTCAAATTTTTGGCAAATACACTCCGGACTATTTAGTGGGAGAAACTGTAAAGTTATCTGGGAAGGAGTGTGGGTTTAGAGGGCATTGAAAGATCAAGAACAATAAAGTAATGCACCAGATAGACTTCATAAGCTTGTGTTCGTTCTTTCGTGCGATCCTTTGGCCATCTTTAACTGCCAATTGAAGACTCATCGAGATGCATATAACTATACTCTTTTTAAAGCATTAAAACTATTTTCAGTAGTTTTATATAATGAATAACAATAATAAAGTCTGCTAGGTGGGAATGTCAGAGACTATTCCTTGTTTGAATTTTTATATTGCTTGTACAACATCTTAGTATAAGTGGTTGTCAATGAGTAAGTAATAAAAGAGAATAACTCATATGAATAAGATACTTCATTTACTTTTCTGCATTTTATAAAGCATACTATTAAGAAAGGGTTTTTTAAAAAATTGTATTTATATATTGTTGTGATTCTGCTTTCTAAATTTGAATATTGGGAATAGCAAGAATCAGGAAAAAAGAAGAAAACAAAATCTCATGGACCTTGAAGGGGAAAAAAGCCACTCAAATATTAATTTAATTGATTTTTCTTTGTGTTGCTAGTCTTTTCTTCTCTCCCTTTTAAGGAGGAAGTAATTTTACTGTTGAGTCTGAGCCTAAGTAGCCTTTTCATTCACAGGCCCACTCACATGGGTCAGTGACCTTTGTAGATTGAATGGTATGACAATTCAAAGTGAGCAGTGCTATATCATCATTTCCCTGCTTGCCTCCACAGATCGATGTCCTGCCAGAAATCGTGGAAGCTGTGGAAGGGAAGGTAGAAGTTTTCCTGGACGGGGGTGTGCGGAAAGGCACAGATGTTCTCAAAGCTCTGGCTCTTGGGGCCGAGGCTGTGTTTGTAGGAAGACCAGTCATATGGGGCCTGGCTTCCGAGGTAATGGAACCCAGAAACAAATCTATAAGAAAGGATGATTTAAGAGTGAAATCAATACGTGGAATGCCAGATTTACGTTTATATCTTTTATTTGCCTAGGGGGAGAGAGGTGTCCAAAACGTCCTTGAGATATTGAAGGAAGAATTCCGTTTGGCCATGGCTTTGTGTGGTGAGACTTGCCATTCTCATCTGCTTTCTTTTCTTTCAGTTGTCTTTCAGCCAACTCCAAGAAGCCTAGGGATTCCGTGCATAGCGCACTTACTGGGTTCAGCTGCTAACCAAAAGGTTGTAGATTCAAATCCATGCTGAGGTGCCTCAAAAGAAAGGCCAGGTGATCTACTTCTGGGGAATTGGTCATTGAAAACTCTATGGAGCACAGTTCTCCTCTGACATACATGGTGTCGCCACATGTGAAAGTTGACTGATGGCAACTGGGTAGAGCCTGGAGCATCTATAAAAAACAAACCTAATCCACAGCCATTCAGTTGATTCTGCTGCACAGCAATCCTACAGGATAGGGTAGAACTGTTCCATAGGCTTGTGAAGCTGTACGTCTTTATAGAAGCTGACTGCCTCATCTCTCCCAGAGAGGGGCTAGTGGATTTGAACTACCCACCTTTCAGTTTGGAGCTCGATACCTAGCCTCTTGTGCTGCTAGTGCTCCTTAGAGCCTCTGTCATATGCCCTGTGGCCACCTAGAATATGGGAAAAGGGCTGGTGGATATTGTGCCTAGATATGCCTTTGGTGTCTTAGCAGTTCAATTTTTGTTTTGTGTATTTTAATTATTTTGATTTTATGTATGATTTTGTTTCACAAATAACCATGATAAAACAATATTAATGATAGGTAAACTAAATGAAAGCCACTGATATATTTAAATAGCACTATAGAGAGGATAGATAGATAGATAGAAAGACACACAGACAGACAGATAGATAGATAGATAGATAGATAGATAGATAGATAGATAGAAAGATTGATAGAGATAGATCTTCTCCCTCAAAAACATTATATTGTGGCTGAACCACTAAACATTTACATATATAAGGATTACAATGAGTATTCAGCATGTGTGTTTTTAGTCAGTATGAGACCCTTTTCCGGGCAAGTGAGATGGGGAAAATATGACGTAGCGTCTTCTGTAAGGTACTCAGACTCACCAGTGTATTCCTAATAAGGCTGTCAAACACAGAGACGAGGCGACTGCCATGAGATTGAAGCAAAGGCCTGCAAATCCATCTGCAGAGTCCGCATGTGGATTGAGTCTCTGGTGAATTCTCTCTGACCATAGTTGAGGAATGTGAATCGCCCTGTCATCAGACAGAGAAGATCATAAAGTTAGTTACGGCAACACAGTTAAATAAAAATGTAATATCTTATTATTTGATCTCCCATTTGACACATTTTAAAGCTGTTTCTGTTTAAAAAGAAAAAGTGAAATATACACAGATTAAGCCCCTCGTGAATCCCTCTGACTATGGACCAGGGATGCAAATAGCTTTGCTATCATGTCAAAAGTATATAGGAAAGTGAATTGTTGCTGATGCAATTAAGAGAAAACTTAGCACCCTATCATTTGAACTCGCTTACGATCCATTTAAATTTGTTCTAATACTTTATATTTTCTGTTTTATTTTCGATTGAGTTTGAAAAAATCTGTTTTACTGCCTTACTAGTTGTTGTATTGTTTTAATGTTTTTCTGTGTGTGCAATCCAGGGTAGGTAAAGCTATAGAGACAATAATTAGATTAATGTTTCCTTGTGGGTATGGCAGGGGAGGTTGGGGGAAATGGGAGCTAATAGTAAAGAGTGCTAGAATGGAACAACTGCTCGGAAATGGATTGTGGTGATACTTGTACAACTACTCATGTTGTGATTGAACTCTTGAATGATATGATAGATGAATTATATGTTAATAGAAGCCTAGAAAAATTGAATTAAATTTAAACAAACAGGAGGCTCTCATGGAGAAAGTGAGCCTGGAGATGTATGTTTAAATCTGTGTGAAGTTCAAATTATTTAAGAAGAGAGCAGAATTCATTTGAGGTCAAGAAAATGTTGTATATTATTGCAAGAGAAGGAAAGGGAAGCAGGTACGTGAGTGACATTTAATCAAGGTTTCCAGTAATTGGGAGGAAGCATTTAACTTAATTCTAATTCTACTTTAAAAAACACGAAGGGCATGCATCACTATCTTACAGACAGGTATTAATTAAATGAGAGAAAAAATTATTTTCTTTGCAGATAGATCAGTCTACTTGAGGTGTAGAACATGGCTGGGTAGTTAAAAACATGTAAGATGGAAGTTAGAAAGACCCATTTTAGTAAGAGATATCAAATGATCTATTGGAGAGTTAAATGGAGCCCTGGTGACACAGCGGGGTTAAGTATTGTGTTGATAACCATAAAATTGCTAGTTCAAACCCACTAGCTGCGCCATAGAAAAATTAGGAGGCTATCTGGTCCCATAAAGATTTATACTCTTGGAGAAACTACGGAGCTGTTCTACTCTGTCCTGTAGAGTTGCTTTGAATTGGAATCAGCTTGATCACAGCTGATACATCACAGTGTAGATGGAAATAGAAAGACATTGATGGGTACTTGAAGATGTGGGGGCTAAGGGAGCTGGACAGAGTGGCTGGAGACATGGGAACAGAGGGAGAAGAGGAACTAAGAGCTGATTGGACAACCGAAAGACTGTATTTTTTATTGAGCTTGGCGGCTCTGGAAAGAAGAGAACTTGAAGAAGAGGAAGATGTCATTTGAGGACACAATAGATTTGACGTTGACTCCTGTCTTTGCCACTGCAGTGGAGAACTCTCTGAACTCTAACTGGCAACTCTGCACTTCCACTTGGACCTACGAGACACTTTACTCTCTCCTTGTACAAAACTAAACTCCGTCAAACCTGCTCTCTCAGCAGTCCACTCACATTCAATGTCGTTCCTTTTAATACCATTTTTTCAGTTGCACGAGTCAAAAATCTTGAGTCTTCCTTGACTCCTGTTTTCTCTCATGCTCCCACATAGCGGGATTCTCTCTCTCATCAAATATAACCAGAATCGTACATTTCTATCATCCTTCACCCTCTTGGCTGAAGCCACCATCAACTCTCATTTTGGATACTGCTTTTGTGCCTAAGGCAACTATCTGTGTATCCCCTGCCCCAGTCGATATTCAACAAAGCAATCAGAATGATCCTTTAGAAGCAATCATTCCGATCTTGTCACTCCTTTGATCAGAACCCTCTAATCCCCCCCCCCCCACCCACTGGTTTTTTCCAAAGTTAATGCCAAAGACCTTAAAGGGGTCAATGAGAATGTACTAGAGTCTGACTCCTGTTATCTGTCTGACTTCAATTCCTACTGTGGCTCAGCCACACCTGCTTCGTTGCTGTTCTTTGACTGTCAGAGTGGATGCAGTTTTTTCACTGGCTGATCCCTCCATCTCCAATGCTCTTCCTCAGGACACCTACATGGCTAACGCCCGCATGGCTTTCAAGTCTCCCATGAAGCTTACTGACTGCCTTGTTTAAAATTGCAAACTCTCCTCCACCTGCCCACGCACACCTCCAGATTTCTTTCTCTGTATTCATTTTTCATATAGCACTTATCACCTTCTACAGATCACTGCTTGTGTAATTTAATTTGAAATTGGTATATGAGAATCCTGATGCAGGGATTTAAAAAAATCTTTCCTGGGGTATCCACAGGACCTAGAGCAGCGCCTGGGACAGAACAACACCCAATAAATATTTGCTGTTGGAGTGAATAAATAAAGTTGTGTTATCACTAGAGATGGTTTCGAAACGGACTCAGAATGGACCAGTGGATGTAACAAATGGCCTTGCATGAATGAGCAATGACTGCACTTTGAGAGTAATAAGGGGTTCCTTTTTGGTGATCCATATGATCCAAATTGTCTCATAGGTAGAATTCCCAAGATAAATAATGTACTTGCCTTTGCAGGGCCCCAGTGAGAAGAATAGCATTCTCTGAATCCTCACTCCACATTTTAATTTGCTGCAGACATATCCTAAAAGAGGGCTTTCAGCCCCTGAATCTCTATTAAATGTGGCAGAAAGAATATACTCTTTGTGTTAATAAAACTATGTGCCAGTCATCTTGTGTTAAGGACTGTTTGGGTAATAAAAATGGTCTCATGCCACATAAGATTTGGCAAGCCTACCTTGAATCATAAACCTTACATTTGTCAAGCTTTACATTCCTTGGGAAAGCGATTACCTGCCTGATTATTACTGCATTCGCTTCGTATTAAATGTATGCAGTCTTTTTTTTTTTCCTTTTTCTTTCAGGGTGCCAGGATGTGAAAGCCATCGACAAGACACTGGTGAGGACAAATCCTATGGCTGTTTCCAAGATCTGACAGTGCCCAATATTTCCCATCTGCACTACTATTATTATTTTGGGGGGCATGTATGACTTGACAAAGAGACACTGTGCAGAGGGTGACCACAGTCTGCAATTCTTCGCCTCGAGACAAAGGGTGTCGTTCTTCTCCAACAAAATAGCAATCCTTTTTAGTTCATTGCATTTGACTTTGCCATGGGGGTCCTAGGAACCTTTAGGAAAGAAATGGACCTGCATCCTGGAAATATATTAAGTGTTAAAAAGAAAACATTGAAAATGCGTTTAGACAACGTCCTCTGCTGGCAAGCTGAAGTGCTAAAGATGAAAAGGTGCCCTTTGGCCAAACGGAAGGGAGCCAACTCGATGGTGTCCAGGTCATCGCCTCGCTGTTTGTTAACCTGTATTGTTTTCAGATGGCCTGAAAACAAATTTCCCATTGTAAGCTTGGGGTCCAACTGTTGGAAAATCCTGGATAGAAATCCCTAGTGAGCGGAATTCAGAATATCGAGATGATATCCCTGAGGTGATTTTGGAGGAGTGGTCATAGTTTGGTATCGCTCAATAGACGTAGAAGGAGGGTCGTAATCTGTGATGTTCGAGACTCTTTTTAAACTCTGCTACTTGTCCGGATGCAGATTTCCATCCACAGTATCTCTATCCACAGATTTCCATCGTCAGGACCTACATATATCTGATGATTTGATGATCTATATTGCTCTTATAACCATAGAGAAATAATTTTTGAAAAAAACAATCTCTCTGGTCCATGTGCAGCAATATGAAATTCAACCATTTTAATCCCTCAATTGTACTTATCTCCCTGCCCCCATTGTGAACTCCTGCTAGTTCTCTTATTCTTCTTGGCTCCCTTGGTTTACTTTTTTGCTTATTTACCATTTGGCGTCTCATGCAGAAAGGGCCTGCTGAATGATTTGTGGGATCCAGTACAATATGGAAATGCAAGCTACCTTGTTCCTTTTTTTCTGTTCATATGATCTCTTTCTTTCACAGTGTTTTTAATTTTCAGTTCCATGTCATGCTGCCTTAGGCAAAAGAATACTCACACGAGGAGAGAAAACACTCACAGGCAACTGAGAATTTGTCCCTTGGTCCCAAACTTCTTTGAACCCAAGTCCAGTTCTCAGAAGGAGGTGGAAGTTGGTAGAGGTCTCTGGACATCAGTCCCCGGGGGAATGAGTAGCAGAGAACCCATTGGGGGCAGTGAGAGAGGTGGTGGAGCGGGAGACTGTGTGAGCTGAGGCTCCACGCGGTATTCCATTTCTCTTCCCATTCAATTTAGGAAACAACATTTTAAAGATAAAACTAATAAGAAATTCAAGACAGTGACCATACTGTGAATCGACCCTAAGTAGAGGGCCCCTTCTGAACATGGGACCCTGAAGAACCTGAACTGGATCCATGGTCAGGAAGCTGGTATCCCAGTTAGCCATTTGGCTAGGATGGAAATGAACTTGGTAGACCAAGTAATTTTTGAAGTGTTTTTTTTTTTACCCTTTTCCTGGACTCTTGTCCATTTTGAGATCTTGAATAAAACAATTAAGAGAAGCACTTTCTTGAGATATGGTATTATTTCACTTGTCCCAGTTTTTAAATGCTAGGGTATTCTATATTGCTGACATACATATTTCTTTCTAAAATTCTATCTAACTTGGATAAAGAAGAATCAATATGATAAAAAGGCATAGATACCCCATATATTTTTCTTCAAATGCAATGAGAAAATCTGATGGTCATAGCAGGCAATTCTTTTTCTTTTCAATCAATATTAACTAATTATAATGAATGTCTCCATAATCCCTAAGAGATTCAGAAATGCCTTTGATATTGGCATTTTGGCTCTAACATAGTAAATGAGGGCCAGTGAAAATTATTACTCCAAAATCAGAGTACCCATTAGGAAAGAAGCATATCAAAATGTGAAACCATTGTTTCCCCACATACGCTCCATCTCAGGGCACTGTTTTCCCCTCCCTAGCCTTCTCGGAAGAACTCTGTGTCCTGTTTGCACCAGACCAACAGGGCGGTGCCAGCCTCCTCAGGGAACTCCAGTGGCGTTCCTTTGACACGTTCTTTCAGTTTGGGAAACAAAAATAAACCTGAAGGGGTCAAGATGCGGGGTGTGGGGTGGACGGGGGGAGGTTTCTAACAAAATTCTCAGGACAGGCCTTTCTATCATCAGGTGCTTTGCTATGCTGTGTGTGGGGGAAATTCTTCATGCAGTTTTCTGGCTGCTTCCTCACCAATGTAGCTTTTAATTTTCTGAAATTTTCTTCATAAGTGCCTGGGGTCATCCTTTGTCCTCTGAGGGAAGAAAAATCCATTAAGGTTACCCCTTTGAAAACCCCAAAAGCCATAAAAACCTTCTGGGCTAACATCTCTGTCCTGAATGTCACTCAGCACCCTTTGTTTTTTGGGAAGGGATCCTAACAAAATTGCGACCAATGCATTACAGAGAGAACTTATCTGCTACTATTTGCTGACCACAGAAAGACATCGAATTCCATTTTATTAGGAGTAAACCTATGGGTGTATGAAATGGGACCCTCCTTGCAATACTTCTTAGCTTAGCCTCCCAACAAGGTGTGACACCTTGGGAGTAGATAACTCCCCCAGCTAATGGATACCCACTATGATGTTCTATGTAAGTTTTATTAAAGGTGAATTTGTGAATTTCTACATTCTTATATCCCCCAACTGGTAATTCTGTTTAAATGTATTGACACAAGAGAAATAGTCTCAAGCCTACCAGTGAATCCTGAGGATGGCTCAATACTGGGCAATGCTTCCTTCTATTGTATAAAAGATCACTTGTTGCCGCGAGTTTGCGCTGACTGGAGGGCAACTAACAACAAAAATGACTTATGATTCTTCCTTTAGAGTAAATTTCCATTTATTCCTTCCAAGTCAAAATATATCTGAAAGATTTATTATGTATAGTGTTTTCATAATCAGAAAGAAACAGAGTAATTTATTTCATTTCTTTTAAGAGTTCCTCTCGTCCAACTGCAATAATAGTAAAACTCCAAATATGTGATGGTTAAAACAGGGATGAGGTGTATGTATTGTACAATCTCTCTGGATATTTTGTTACTTGAATTTGGTATGATCTTTTTGAATAAACCAAATATTTATATATATATTTGGTAAAACAAGGCAGTGGAGTGGAGGAAAAAAAAGGCTAGTTATTTTTAAGAGGATATTTAAAGTCTAGGGAGCTTCAACAAGTTTGTGGAAAACATAATTAAAAGACAATGTGATTTTCTAAGCATCCGAAAAAAATTCACTTGTAGATAGCAATCTAAAACATTCTTTCTCAGGCTTTAGCATACGCCAGCCTGACCTGGAAGGCTTGTTGAAAGACAGTTACCGGGTCCTCAGATATTGTCAATCAATCTGGCCTGTCTCTGCCCGATTCCGTCGGTGATGTGCTGTAACGACGAACAATGTGTCTGTGGCCGTGATCGCATTTTGGAGGGAGTTCTGTGCTGCAGGATTAGAGTGAGGCCAGTCACACTTCTCTCACAGCGATCCCTTGGCCCGGACACAGAGAGAAATCACAGGCCCAATCGGAAGAGCATGGCCAAGGTCTCTGTGAAGTGGCGCTTTGGATTGAGGTCTGAGAATCTGCACCTTTACCATGTGTTCAAGTAAGAATGATGCTGCTGGTTGGAGAACTCCAATTCGAGAACCGCTCGTCTAGTCATGAACAAGGAGCATCAAGTGCGATTTCTCAAGCAGAGCAGGCAATGAGGCAACTGTTGGGTGTGGATTATAGTTGCTCTTCAGTGTCTATATTAGGTGGGGTTGTCTAGAGAAGTAAAACCACTGGCACTTGGATATGTTGTGTCTAGAAAGAGATTTATATACAGAAATGGCTCATGCACTTGTAGAAAGAGGAAAGTCCAGTCAGGTTCTAGCTACTCAGGCTTCTTCTGACTCACGGAAGCTGAGGAACAGGAAGCCGGCTGACAAACAGACAGCAGGGGGCACAGGCTGGCATGAGCAGGAGCCAGAAGTCAGCCTAATGCATCCACCATCCGTAGTCCAATAGTGACTCCTGGGATCAGCAGGAGACTCGACAGGTGATTGAAGAACCACAAGCAAGACGCAGCTCTGGCAGAAGGCAACGCGTCTCCATGACCTGAAATTGGCAGCAGCAATAACAATATAGTCATTAGAAATGTCAATATATATTTCTGAGAGAGACAATTCCATCCATGACAGTAAGTATTTTACGTTTTTCACACTGAGATGATCACGTTCAACCTGGTTTTTGCTCATAGCTGGCTCATGAGTCACAAGTGTTTCAACCCTTTAACTTTCTTGTCCTTCCCAGGTATTTCCCTTGTCACTAAGATTCTTATATCCCAACCCAGAAGCACACCTGAGGCATTTAGCAATGGTGGGTGTTTACCAGCAGAATTTGCCAGAATATCTTTTGTTTAAATTTGCTTACAGTTTTGCTTATATTTTGCAACCTGGAAGAATATGGGTGTGAAATAAACTTTCTTATATCCACAATTCTTTGAGAACTCATGGTGTCAGCAATGAATTGAAGGACGCTTGTCTTAGTCATCTGGTGCTGCTAAAATAGATATGCTATAAATAGACGGCTTTGCCAAATTTATTTTCTCATAATTAAGGAAGCTAGAAATTAACATTAAGAATGTCAGCTCTAGGGGAAGACTGTCAATCTTGGTTGGCTTTGGCTCCTTTTCATATCTGTTGACCTGGTGTTTGTGGAGATTTCCATGTGTCTGGGCATCAATATTCCCTGGGGTCTAGGAGATTCTCAGTTTAAGGACCTGGCCTGGAGGACATGCTCCTTGCCCCTGGGTCTTCTTTCTTGATAGTACATCAGTCTCTCTCCTCTCTCTTCACCCCACTCTATTTCTAACTTCTTGTAAGATAAAGGAATACATCAAGTGACGTGTGTCTTGAGTCATGTCCTCTTGTAAGGCTGTGACTCAAGATAAGAAGGAGCTTCCAAAACTCATGGAAAATTCCATTTTCTTTCAGTTTTATTTTCCATGAGTTTTTGAAGCTCTGTCATATACTTCACACTAATCCTGCTTCATTAATTTAGGATTTACAGCACATAAAAAAGGAGAGTAATTATCCCAGATAACACAAAAATGAAGAACAACAACACAATACTGGGAACCATGGCCTCAACAAGTTGACACACACTTTGGGAGCCCATTATCCAATCGACAACAGTATTGATGCTTCTTAGCATGCAGTTTGCAACTGCATCCGGGTCATCACTGTGTCATTCACTCGCTTGTTTATCTTTTGCCAAAACATCAGTGTTTTTGGAATAGCTTTAGAAGGCTGGGCTGCATTAGTAAAGGATGTTAAGGTTTGTTTACAAATAGGGAGAAAGACAGTCATGCTCCTCATTGTAAGAAGCTATAATTTATTTACTGTTTAATGGACTACACTGTGTCAGTTACATAGCAACAAAATAAAGCTTATCTACTGAAGAAAATCTAACCTTTTCTCATTACATAAAAATAGCGAATGCTTTCTGAACTTAAATTTGCTCCAGTCTGTATTCTGTCATTTGCCAGTTATAAAAAAATACCAGGATTAGAGTTTATTATACATAATATAAATGTTAACCTAAATGATCCAAAGCTATTTTTATATGCCTTTGTGAACGGAAATCAATCTTATCTGTGATTTATCAGATGCAATTTCCTGTCCTTATCCAAATTTAATTTGAGCAATAGGTATCTTCGCTAATGTGGTTGCACCTACTAAGTTGAGATAATTAAGAAATGCTTGGTTTTTAATCCAATTACCTGCTTTGCTTCTCTACTGATAAATATCTGAAGATAATAAACATAACTTCAAGTTAAACATTTTCAAAGTCTTCTACAAAATGAGGGCCATAATGACAAGACAAGACTGGGATTCAGTGATAAATACATTTGATTTTGTGGATTCATTTGATTCAGCATCATTGGAGAAAAGACCGTGTTTTGGAGGCCTCTTTTTGTTCTCTGGCTGAATCATCTATTTCTAAAGCTGATTCATTTTCCGTACGATCAAACTTGTGGATTTCTTATTGACAAAGATGTTTAGGGTAAGATGATTTACGTTGTACGTTAGTTTCATTACTAACTTTACTAACTGAAGTCAAGGGTAACCAACCTGAATGAACTGGATTAGAATCCTGATGAGATGAATCAGTAACTTTTTGGACCGTTACTTAATCTTGGCCCATTCAGATTCTGGACTATGATATGTATCTGCCTACCACATTACTTCATTGTGAAAATGGCATGAATGAGCTAAATGAGAATACACCATGAATCATAAGTCAACATTCAAAGGGAATGTTTATGAACAATAATTACTATTAGTTGAATAATATGACAAGTCCTTTTTTGTTTTTAAATCATTTTATTGGGGGCTCGTACAACTCTTATCAAAATCCATCCATCCATCCATTGTGTCAAGCACATTTGTACATCTGTTGCCCTCATCATTCTCAAAACATTTTCTTTATACTTGAGACCTTGGTATCAGCTCCTCAT